GCCATACTAGATCATTCATTCAGTTACATGTCCAAGAGAAGAACTGATTTGTTGCATGTGGGATTCTTTTCATTATTTACACACACCTGATACACTTGATAACATGCAATTGAATAGTAGTTGTTGTAATTTTCAGTTTCTTTGCCAGTGAGTCTTTTTAAGAGCTGACAAAAAAAGTATGTGGCATGTTGAAGTGCAATGCTGCATTATCCTCCTTCTGGAAAGGGGGAACATTTTAATATGTTGACAGGGGCTGGTGTTAATAATCAAGTAATATTTAATGTGAAATAAAACTGTATGAAGAGTGAATAAACACACACAATCTTATTTAAGTTCCAAGGTATCTGGAGATGAGCACCCTATAGATCCAAGTTGTCCTATGACAGTTCATCTGAGAAGGATTCTTATAGCAAACTTATCACTCAGTATAAGTATATTCACAGAGATCTTTTGGTCAGTTTTTGAATTAGAAATTATTTCAGTTTTGCTTGAAGTCTTTGTTCATGTGGATTATAAATTTATATTTAAAATAGATCCTGCAGATGGATTGTTGGTATGAAAGTGATTTGTGGGGTTTTAAATGGCAAGCATGATTTAGGCCACTGTGTGTCTACTGTTAGATGAAGTGTTTATTTTATGTGTCATTTGGTGTAACTTAGAAATACAAAAACGGTGAAAAATACTGATCCAGCCTGAGCAAATTTAGCCTCTTTTGGGTTTATGAGGGAGATATTGTTGCTTCTGTTTTTTTAAATATTTTCAATAGACTCTTTAAGTCTTCATTTGTCCTGGATAATAACTGTGAAACCAGCAACTGCCAATGTTCCTTGTGTGTCCTTGTGCTGACTTGCAAGCTGGCTTGCCTTTTTTGCTGCTGATGCCAGACACCATGAAGGAGGACAGCTCAAAGGACGATATGCTGTGAGAGGACAAGGGCAGCACCAGATGTGTGTTTCCTAAGGCATGTGGATCTTTTGGTTCACAGATTCTTAAGTCCTAGAGACTAGAAGTTTGTTGGGAATAGACTGCAATTTTTGAGGTGCTGTTGAATTCTGTGATAGTTCAGAATGCTGTTTAACATAGGAAGCATCTGAGTGTAGTGCTGGTAGGCAAATATTTTATATTGTATGTGTAAAATCAGTTAGATTTTAAGCATAAAAATGGTAGTGTAAGAGTAATGGTGTAGCTGTGATGGTCCAGAAGTTAGGCAAAAGGGAAGGATTTCTTAAGGTGGTAGCTTTTATTTGACCAGCAATGTCATCAGGATGCAATTAGACAAGCTTTCAAATGCAAGGAATAAAAATTTCATCTTTTAGATATTCAGTAGCTGCTAAAGTACTGTGAGTTAAGCATAGACAGATGCACACAGTGTATACACACATCTTTTATGTGTGCTCACATGTACTTCCTTGAAAATGTGACATTCTAACTATATTTTTTTTACCTCTACATATTTCCCAAGCCCTGTTCTTGTATCTAAGCAATACAAGCATTGAAAGAGGAATCAATTTTTTGATGTGGCCTAGGAGCCTAGATTTCCCCTTTCTCCCCACAGTATTATTTCATAGTGGAGCTTAGGTCGTTTGGGTGCCTTACCTCACCATTTCCCTATCTTAAAATGTTTGAATAACCATTTTTTTTAAATCCACATCAAGTCTTTTTATAGTCATAGAGTCTCTGCCATTCATTTTACTAAGATAAAAAATGTGCGTGGTGATGATGTGTACAGAAGTCTCTTTTATTAACTTATTTCCCTTTCAAACGGCATGGCCTTCCTGAGATATTTAGGAATGTAAAGGCATTCTGGGTTCATCTATTACACTGTGTAACACTGCATACATGAATACATTTCATATGGAGTTTGTTTCTTGTTTTTCATACGCTGTTTAAGGTTGCACGGAATCTAAAACTAGGTGCAGACATTACACTTTTTTCTGGTTTAGGTGGTCAAAAACCAGTCTAAACCTGTAACAGAACAAAAGTTGGGTGCACATAGACCGGTCTAAAAATGGTGGAAGCCCATCTAAGATAGACTTGGATGGATATAATATTAGATTTAATTGGTTTGGGTTAGACTGGTATATTGAACTTCTGTCCCATCTCCCCCCAACTCAAGTTAGGCTGCAGTCCCCCAGCATTCCAGGAGCTTTTGTGGTTCTTCCACTACCCCCACCTCCCCGCAAGGCAGTCAAGCTAGCCATGGCCTGTGTTTGTCTGCTCTAGCAGAGTACCAGGCCATACCCATCCCCAGGCAGACACAGAACTAAAGCAGCAAAGCCTCTGCCCCCCAGCCTGGCATCCTACTCCCATACCTGTCAGCTGAGCTGGACTGGGCAGGCGGGGGAATGGAGGCCCTGGCCCCCTCAGCCACCATAGTTGGGGGAGCCAGGTGGCAGGGGCTTCCCCCCTCCCATGCTGCCTGGCCCTCCTGGCCAGCCAGGAGGGCCAGGCAGCATGGCTTTGCTCCACAGCTGTGCCCTCCTGCCATGTCTCAGTGGGAGGGGCAGCAGCAGAGGACCCACCAGCCACGGCCCCCTCCAGACCCAGCCAGAACACTTGGCAGGGGTCTCCATTCTACGCCCCCCCACCCAGCCACCTGACAGCTGCAGGCAGGAGCTGTGGCTCAGAGCTGGTCTGTCAACCACACTGGGAACTGGGAGTAAGGGGGTGGGGGAACAGAGCTTGCTGGCTTGGATCCAAGAAGGCCAGGCTGGGTCCGTGCAATGAGGGCTCTGCTCCCTACTCCGCCCCCAATTCTCAGTGTGGCAGACAACCCAGCTTTGAGCCGCAGCTCCTGGCTGCAGTTATCAGGCAGTTGTGGGAGCAGGAGGAACAGAGCCGCCTGCTGTGCAGTCCCCCCACTGGCTCTGGGCCTGGTCTGCACAGTGGGGGCTCTGCTCCCCTGCCCCCAGTTTCTGGTGCGATGGACAGCTCAGCTGTGAGCCACAGGCAGTTGGGCAGGGGGTAAAACAGAGGCCCCTGCCATGCACTCTCCTCCCAGCTGTTCTGGGGACCTGGGGGTGGGGATCAGAGCCCCTCATCTGTACTCAGCCTTGGAAGGAGAAATTCTTTCACCCCTTCCTGCTGCTGGTTTTTACTATCCTGTGCCTGGCTCCTTGTGATCAGACCTAAGAGAGAATGCCTTGCATTCAAAAGATTATCTAACTTTATCCCAAAATCATAGTTAAATCAAAAATATCACCCTAAGATATCCTTGCCTCTCACATTGTTCTCATCTTATAAACTCTTTGGGACAAATACAGATTTTCTTGCTTGAACAGCCTAATCAAATTATCCATTAATAAATGATTACCAGATGAAGGACGATTTTTTAATAACAAGCCTAGGACCCTAAAAATAATTTTTATTTTGTCTTAGGTGATAGTATGAATTGCAAAAGGTTCTCCCATAGATGAAGTGACCAAACCAATCAGACAAACAGGGTTCTGGAAAATGATTCTAGGATATAGGGCAAGATAGGAGTAACCCATGCAGGATGATTACAATAAAATCTGGGAATTAATTTTCACTTCTCTATAACTATTTTAATCTGTGCCATTTTCTTATTAGTTTTTTTTAACACTAAAGAAATGCTGGCCTGTTAGCTTTCATTGGGGTAAGAATACTTTTGTTGAACTCTCAGGTTATGGATACAGCTTGCACGTAGAGGTACATACCAGCAAGGGAATGCTTGGTTGTCTGAGCAGCGTGATCACAGCCTGACTAGGTATGTGCATACAGTGGGAGAGAGAAAATACACAGCTACAAAATTTGTCTGCAAAACAGTCTAACTGTCTTTGGTTTGCTATTTCTCCTCTAGTTATGCCAGAAGGTGTGAATAAGTAGTTTAAAAGAATTAACATGAGAAAAGAATGAATAGGGCAATTTAAGAATACGCTGTTGGATCGTGTGTTGATTTCTCTGTGGCCCTGGTCTTCAAGAAAGGTGCTGGCAAACTTTGATTGTCCCATCCAAAAGGCAAGGCAGTCGGCAATTATGTAGGCTCTGTACATAATAATGGGTCTTAATTTGATGAAGTGAATGTAATTAAGACTTGTAAGAAGGGCTTACTCAAATCAGAAACAAATTGTTTTACACTTGCTATTATTAGTGTGTGCCTGCTGCAATTTTCTGCTTTATGCCTTTTAAGCTTACAATCCTAAAATGGGTGGTGAAGTAGCAGACATGTAATATATCACTCCTATGTTAGCTGAATGATTCTTTGATTTAGTTTGACACCTCATCAAATGTTTACCACATATCAAGAGTTACTGCTGAAACTGGGAAAGATTTCCATTGATTTCAAAGTTTTGATACCTAATGGAGGGAAGGCCCTGGCAATTTTGATATTAAGAATTGTCTAGCGCTACTGAGGCTACTTACTCTTTTACTTACCATATATTCATAATTTGTGTACTTTGGGTGCATCTACATGTTCATTAATGCACTATAATTAGGAGAAGAATATATTGGCATGGTCAAAAGTGTAGGTATTCTGTTCTTCTCCAGACACCTAGTCATCCACTTCGGCATGGTTTGTAAGTCCCAAAAATGTGACTTATGCTCAGATTGACAACTCTGTTCTTGCTCATGTAGCCTTATGAATGTGAATAGCTATGTGCACACCCAGATATCCTGTGTGTAAGTGGCACTCTGGAGACTTAAATGACCATGTAGATGACCAAATCTAGTGGTCCTGGTATCCACAAAAGAATGCCCCTGAAAGCGTTTGATTTTTTTTTTTCACCGTTTTACTGATCTTCATATGGTTTAGAAATATATTTGGATCCTCCTGGCTTTCAGTAATTTAATGTTATATATTTAATGTTAATATTTTTTTCATAAATGGAATAAAGTAGTGTGTAGTAAATTAAAGACTATAATATCAGATATGGGTGTGCTCCGAGTTGGTGACTGACATTCCTAAGCTAGCACATCAGTAACATACAGCTGCCTTTTAGTAGTAGTAAAGTCATTTTAAACTTATACTTTTTTCATAGGGCCCCTCGGTTTAAGGGTTTCCAACAGCAGGATAGCCAAGAGCTTCTCCACTACTTGTTGGATGCAATGAGAACAGAAGAAACAAAGGTAAAATCTTTATATATTTTCAGGGAACTAACTTGGATTAATTTTAGATTGAATATCCACTTTTTAATTTACTTCGTATTCTCTATGTTTGATTAGTACATACATAGCTGAAGTTTGCTTCTACCACTAAGTGTAAAGTTGGCTTCTGAAAAGACAGTTAAATTGATGCATTTTCACTTAAGTATTTCAAAGCTGATTGTAAGTAAGTTGTCACATTTTATATTATAACTTTGGTTAGCACTATTTTAGGGGAGAGTCAAAACTCCAAACCTCTTTTCACCATTCTGCTGCTTCGCCGTGGAGAACCAACTTAAGATTTGCCCCTGAAGTAACTTCTCACCCCAGTATACCTTAGTTCCACCTGTCTCAGTCAAGGCCTTTGCAGCTCCAGTAGAACCATCTTACCAGATGATGAGTCATACTCTTCTAGGTTTGCATAAAACTGTACATCCTAACTCCCCTAGGTGTAACTAGCTTGTAGATATCAATTGTTCTGAAATCACATTGATCATAGACAATTAATAAGATATAAGAAATGGCAAAAAGGTCTATTACATAAGCAAGAACATCACATAAATGGTAAGAAGATTGAAAGAGACATATTAGAAAATAACCGTAAAAACTAGAGTAAGATCTAATCCTACACTTCTGACTAAAATGTAACATCAGTCTCTTGCTAGAGGTCTGTCTCAAGCAGCTTTTCCTCCTAGAGGAGTTCTCAATAGAGAATATTTTTCTATTCAGTGGTCAGGGATCATGTATATAGTGTTCAGATAACTTCCTCCCCAAAGATGTGCATCTGCCTGAGAGGCCAGATGTTATCCCTGATTTACATTATATCTAAGGAATATTTGCATTTCTTATATATAATGGTAAATCACATCTGTATTACCATATTTATCTGAATCCTTGATGGCCGTGAATTTTAAGACAACTGTCTTAAAATTCACGGCCATTGTACAGGCCCTTGTACAGGTTTCCCTTTCTTTATGCTGTACATATGTTCCTGGAAAACAACGCGTAACTCAATTTTGCATAAAGGGAACTCACTTTACAATGTAACAAATAGGGATACATTCCAAGACCTCAACTCTACTGATCCCCAGACCCATTTCTACCACTTTTACAAGACAATTTTGGTACTCACCAACAGCAGACAGTACACACAAACACAAGGCACTATCATAATGAGGATGGCAACTACAGAAACACGTGTTGCAGACAACAAGCGAGGAGCACAGATCCACACAGGAGATGATATTTTGGTGCGCATCACTCCCACAATGCACTGCACAAAGAAGCTGACCACAGGTTTCCACCACATCGATCACATAAGAGTGAATTTACCTTGCATATAACGAATTTTTGGTATAAAAAGGGTCATCGTATAAGAACAAATTTGCACATACAGAACCCGCATAAAGCGGGGGAAACCTGTAATTAGATTCTATACATAGAAAATGTATACATTTGTTATACTTCTCCATGTATAGAATCTAATTATTGAAGGGTTGTCTTAAATTCATACCTCACCACCAATCCTGCAGGCGGTGGGGGGGACACTCAACGAGGAAGGGAGTAGTAAGGGGGCAGGCGGTGGGGTGTGGAGGGCAGGTGGTGGGGGAAACAGTGGGGGGGCAGTCAGTGGGAAGAGCAGTAAGGGGCAGGCTGGAAGTAGCAGGTGGTAGGAGACATTTGGTGTGGAGGCAGTGGGAGGGGTGGGCACCTTGTCCCCTACCACCTTTCTCCCCCACTTACCTCTCCCTTGTGCCTGCAGTCCTGTCCACCTTCCACGTGTCTTCCCTCCTACACTGCTTGTGCCCCTTTCTGCTAACAGGCTCAAGTCCCCATCCTTCTTCCCTCATCTTCCCTTCCCCTGAATCCTCTGCCCCTCCTTTGTGCTTCCTGTTGCTCTGTGCTGGTGAGCTCTGTCCACATTCAGGCTGGGGCATAGAGCAGGGGGCTAGCACCTCTGCTATGGGGCAAGGCTAGGGCCTGCTCCATGGTCTAGCATGCCTACACTAGAGCAAGGGGCAAGTGGGGTTGCAGTGAGGAGAGAGATGCAGCACAGGTTGGGGAGTAGGGGCCGAGGTGCTGGGGGGAGGCAGCTGTCTGCCCCCTTCCCACCTTGTGCTGGAGTCCAAGACGAGGGGCTTCCTCCCCTCCCCCATGTTAAGTGGGGCAAAAAAACTTCATTTTAAAACTGAATAAATACAGTATGAATAGATCACTAATCCAATATCCTTAGTAATCAATTATTCAAGGGGGTTATAGTTTCTCTCCCATTCTGTTCAAGAAGTGGAAACTACCAAATCTCTGTTTTAAGTGTTAGTTTCTTAAAACTGGACTTCTTGTGTCAAAAGCTTTGCCTTTTGAAGTGTGAACTTCAGTTTTTTGGGGTTGGGCCTCTGCCTGACCTGAACCCCCTTCTCTAGAGTATGGGGCTTGTTTGTACCTGCAGTACAAGATGGGGATAAGCACACTCCAACACATGGGCCCAGTAATTTGCTCCAAACCTGGAAGTTCACCAGTGAAGCTGCTCCAAATGTCTGCTTTTGATCCCTCAGTTTCTGGCAGTCCTGAAAGTAGATGCTGAAGCTGCTTTATTAGTACACTCCCAGTTATAGGAGCATGTCAGCAGGCATGGGTGGACAAGGCATGCTCAGCTCTGTCCTTTTTTGGGCCTCACTGCTGCAGTAGTATAAGCCAGGCCACGGGTGCACTGAGGCAGCCCCTGTAAGAGTTGTATGCTGCAGTATTCTGTTGTGTATTGGACATGATGGGACTATTTTTCTGACAGTTGACACTTCTGGCTATCAGTTAATCCATATCTTTATCGATTAAGGACCAGAATCACAAAGGGACTTGAACATGGTGAGCGTTCCTGCAACAGAAGTTAGGTTTCCTGCTCCAGGAAAGGAATTAACAACTTCAAGTGCCGCTGTTCCCTATGCTTGAAAGAGAGAGAATCAGGCTACGGACATACAGAGTAAAAGGATTTCATCCTATCAGCTGCTCTGTAGTAATGGCCCATGTGCATGCCCTTACGTTGCAGTTAGTGGAAGTTAAATTGTGGTAAGTTACCGCAGTTCAGCTTCCACTTACCCCAGGATAAGAGTAGTGCACACTGGTAGTCATCACAGAGGTAATGACACCTGGTTTAATTAAATCCTTCCCCCTTTTACGCAATAGAATGCACTGTAAAGGGTGAGGCCAACCTTCAATTGCCCAGTGGCAGAAACACTGTACAGAGTAGTTTGTAAAAGTAAGTATTTCTTAATGTGTTCTGTTGCTAGTTTATTTAGCACCTTACCTTTTGGGCACTAGAGTGAAATTTGCAATGCTCAGCATGCCAAACAAAGGAGGATGCCAAAGCCAGGCAAGAAGAAACTCTAAGTAGAAGAAGGTATCTGATGAAGTGAACTCAGTTTCACAAGAGCTTATGCTTTCTCTCTATATATATCTTATTTAGTTAATTTATAAGGTGCATATTTACCCTGCCTCTTCCCTGGATTTAAGTGCCTAAGTTAGATGCCTGTTTATGTTTGGGATTTACAGATTGAAACCCCCCACATATAATCAACTAATTAATTCCTTCATGACAGGCAACTGGCTCACTCTTAAAGTGTGACCAAAGGAGGAGGTAGTAGTGTACAATATCTTAGTGATTAGAGCACTTATTCAGGTTGTGAGACCTGTGTTTTAGGCCTTTCTTAGCCTGATGGAGGTCAAACCCACAATATCACCGCAGAAGAGTGCCATGACCTCCAGACTAGGAAGACACTCCTTCCCTCTCCTTGTTGAAGCTGAGACACTTAAAGGTTTTGTTTTGTTTTGTTTTGTTTTTTAATGTTGCGGCAGAGGTGGAAATTACTATACTGTTCTTTTGGTATAAAATAATTGAAAATGTTTCCCTCACTCTTGATGTGCAGTAAAATCAAGGGAAAGCCTTTTTAAGCAAATGTTCAGATGCTTTCTTCCTCCTGAGGAACAGATTAACAAAAATGTGACAGTAAATGTCATTGTTGTCAATGGATGTGCTGTCCTTATGGTGGTATCAATGTGCATAGTTACTTGGCCTTTAAATAGTTTTACTAGAAATAGTAGCTGTTATAAGCACAATAAAAGAACAACATAACATGTTGAGAAATATTTTCTCTTATGAATTGGTCTGTGCAGTATCTCTGTCACCTTTGTCTTCGGGTAAGTGAAGGTTGGTCCCACCCTTTACTGCAATTAAACCTCTGTTTTGCCATAATGGTGCATTACTATGAACAGTGACTCTATCACCTCCGGGCTGCGCAGCAAGGGACATTACGACTAAAAGCTCTTTTTCCTCCCTTTTTCGGGTCTATAGATGGTGTGACAAACTGAGAATGTCAGATCTGTGGATCTATTCAATCTTGTGAGCATTGGACAGTTGTGCCAGTCAGATACAAGCAGTAGCAGCATTGTCTGTCATGGGAACTCCACAGCTGTTAATCGTGCTATTGTTATGGAGTGTCACTACCATGTGTTTTTTGATTGAAGAAAGCCTACAGCAATATGTCTGCCACCAGAATCCTTTAGAAATGATTACAGCCACTAACCTTTCTCTTTCATGCTGTTTTTAAATGTGCTTGCTTTTGAGTGTAAAGTTTAGGTAACAGCTCTACTAAAATTGCAGCTAAGCATTTCATTGTGTACCTGTGGAAAACCTTTTATTTAGCTGAACAGTCTAATTGCCACTTATACTTCCTGCCCTGATTAATTTTGAAACCGTAGCTACTTGGTCCTCTGATATTAATATACTATATTATTAACATGTATTTACAGTATATATTATAAAAGCCTTTTCCAGATTGACATAATTTTACATAAATTTACTTTTTTGCTTGCTTCCCCTCTGTATGTGTCTTATAAAATGGTTCTTTTAATTGTCCTGAGATTTTTCTCTCTTTTTGGTGGTGTGAAACCAACATCAGATTCTTTGGTATTCTATTTTTTCTCCATATCTTTCTAAAAGTACATGTATGTACTTAGACTTTAAAAGTGAAAGGCTGTCAATACTACAATCAAAATTACACAGTCTGTTGTTTCCAGCAATGTGTGCTGGAGATTGTTTCACACCAGGGTTTGAAGTAGCTGAACCCTGCTGCTAATTGATTAATGTCTGCTGCCATTGTTAGTAGCACCCTGACCATTCAGGGACTATGTCTTTCTTTGACCTAAATAAATGGTTCAACGCGCTAATCCCAACAAAAGGGGTTGCTTATGGCCCTAAACCCATTTATGGTGTTCAGCTTGGTGAATTACCTATTGATTAGTCCTTTTAGTATATTGTTGGCTTTAAGATGATCAAAGCAGAGCTTGGGATGGCAGGAGATAAACTGCAAGCCAGGTCACATATTCATGAGGTAGAAGTATGATGTCTGTGAGTGGTTGAACTGGAAATTGAACCTCTAAGGATATCTTCATTATAGCATTTTTTTTTATATGGCCCGAGTGGAGCATACTTTGCTGTTGTAAAAGTGAGGAATATTTTGTTAGTAGTACAGAAATGTTGAAGCGTCGGAACTCATTTCTGGAGTGGTATATTAGCTTAATTGTGACTTCAGTGTCTCTTTTAGCAGATACAGTATTACAGTAGAGCCTTACTAATTGCAGTACTGAGCAAGTACATTTAGTAAGGGAGATTGAATACATTGATAATGATTACTTGACAATCATTTAGTTGATAAATACTTTATAGTTTCCTGGTAAATGTTTTGTGGTATAGTCTGCATCTGTATTGAAGTCTTACAGTATGAGACATCATTACCACAAATTTATTTATTTATTTTTTGACTGAGAAGTGGGGAAATTTACCATTTTTATGTGCAAATTACACCTTAATGTTCAAATATGTTTAATGTCCAAAAATATATATTTTTAGTATTGTTTTCTCAGTATACATAGGTAATCCTTGTGTATAATAGGAGTTTTTTGTATACCCATTGAGGTATGATAACATAAGTTAGTACTAGAAGGAAAAAGAATGTAAGTTTAGTACTTTCTAAACACAACAGTAGAAGAATGGTGTTGATCTGAGTAAGGCAGAGGTCTAACAAATGGTTATAGAGCCATGACTTTAAACACTTTCTATATTCTTGTCAGTCATTGTAGAAGGAAGCAGTTTCTCCATTGTCATTTTGCTGTTGTCTTGCCAAGCAATAACAGAAGTGAAAAACATGTTGACCGCATAATCTCACCGTTCCTTGGTAAATGCATTATGAACCTAAAAGTGGTCCCTTTTTATGGGGAGATAAGTTCTTGAATGTTAATTACAAAAGTTATATATTAGCTTGTGTCATATAAAAGCATGATCATATAATTTTAAAATCTTAGTAAACTATGCTTCTTTCTAGAAATAATGGAGACAAAATTCTAACCATTTTTAGATGTTCTTAAACTGCTTATCACCTCCTGAAAATATATATTTGTTTTAATAGCGGATACAAACTGGTATCTTAAAAGCATTCAATAATCCAACCACTAAAACAGCAGATGAGGAAACTAAAAGAAAAGTCAAAGGTATGCTACCTCCTAATGAATCGCTTAAAAACAAAAAGCATGTACAATTGTTCAAATGTAATTTTTTTCTATATTGACTGTCTATTACAAACTGGAGTTCTAGAGCGCTGTGCATGGCTTAAGTAAAATTTTATTATCTATTATTTATTATCTAGTGCCATCTAGTGCACACACAAAATATTGAAATTCTTGTATGTATTGGCTTGCTTCCGTTTGTTACTATTATCACTCCGGAATGTACTGTTTAATTTTACTTTTGGAAATACATTATTTTGCATCTTCTGATTTTTTTTATTGTGCAACTATTGTATCACTCAAAGAGAGCACCTGGAATGTTTCATTGATTGAATTATTGACATCCTGAGCATTTTAAGAATATGAACACAAAAGCAGTATAATGATTTTTGCAATAAGGGCAAGATTATTTTCCAAATCTGAGCTTTTTATATAAGTCGTTGTTGCATGTGCTTATTGGTTTTATTCTTACAGCCCAAAAGTACTGAAGTTTGTTTGAAAGATTAGCTTCTTCCAAATCTGTAATTTGTTACTGAAAATGTAACATGAAACAAAATAAATATATCTTTCTGGTATTCTTTCAAGTTTGGCAGTTTTAGAAACCATCATTTAGAAAACATGTCAGTATCTGCTGCTATAGTGCCCGCTTTGGAACAACAGAATGTTAAATAAATAAGGCTGATTACGTGCTTCTTTGTTAAAAAGAAAATCAGAATTTTTTTTTAAATCCTCTTGAGAGATGCAGCACTATTCTGATACAGCAGGGGCAGGAGAGGCTGAATTAATTGTATCACTGAATAACTTCTATAAATATTATGAAGCATGCCATATTAGCAGTAAATGAAGTATTTATTACATTAATAATGTTATTGTGTGTTTTGTACGTAATTCATACATTGGTTTTTTTTAACAATAAACAATAGAAACTATTATGTTGTACTTATACAGTGGCATTGGATTTGTTTTTTCACATTAAAAAAAGCAATGTTTTTTCAGCATATGGAAGAGAGGGTGTGAAGATGAACTTCATAGATAGGATCTTTGTTGGTGAATTGACTAGCACTGTCATGTGTGAGGAATGTGAAAATGTAGGTATTTTGGAATTCAGTTTGATATGGAATAGATCGCATATTGATTTGTTCACATTGTTTGGTTTTTTAAAAAGATTTTATTGGAGGTTTCTTAGTAACATGGCTTATTTCATCCTTAAAATATTCTCTGTATACATACAGGTTTCCCTTGCCAACCACGAGGGTTAGGTTTCGGAAAGTTCCTGTGGTTGGCAAAACCGCAGTTGATAAAACTAAAGGCTTATGGGGGAAATGGGATCAGGGACTTGAATACTATACAGTATAGTGTATAAAAATATTTTTTACTTACCTTTAATACACGGGGTCAGTTGGGAGTAGGCATACCTCTAGGGGCATTTAGGTTATAAGGGGTACGTGCCAGTGGGCGGGGAACAGAGCGCACCCAGGGCACGGCGGCAGCAGCTCCCCCAGCATGTTCATCTCTTACGCAGGGGAGGAGGAGGGGGAAGGAAAGGGGAGGGATGTGTCAGCCAGTCCTGCACAGCACACCGCAGCACTTCCTCTCCTCCACCTGTCTGAATGGTGTGGTGGGGGTGTTTTGTGCCCGCCAGTCAGCAGCCTGCAGATGGGGTGCTGGCCAGGCTGGGTTGTGGGACAGTCGGAGCCCAGCAGCAGTGGGAGCCACCTGCCTGCACCCCTGGATGAGCCACTGGGCTCGGATTGTCCCATGATCTGACCTGCTGTTCCCTGCCACCCTGCTTCCCTCCCCCATGATCTGGTGCGGCAGGAAGCAGAGAAGCCATGCGGGGATCTCCTCACCTACCACTGCTTGCCCCACATTGCCCTGGCAATGTGCCTCCTACACACGGGGCTGCATTGAGGGCAGTGGTGCGGGGCTGCGTCCCTCAAATCAGCAGCAGGCACAGGAAGCTCATTGCTGGGGCAGCGTGGGGCGAGCAGTGGCGAGTGATGAGATCCCCGCGTGGTTTCTCTGCTTCCTGCCACTCTGGGTCATGGAGGAGTGCAGCAGGGAACAGCAGCGAGCGGGCCTGCTGTTCCTTGCCACCATGCACACCTTTGGTATGGCTTGGGGGCCACCTCTGGCTGGGGTAGCAGGGGCTGTGGGGGAGAAGGAGAGGCATGAGCAGGGCCAGGGGGTTGGTGGGCTGATGCGTGGCCACAGAAAACTGTGGTTACTCAAAACTGTATACCGTGGTAACCAAAATAATATACAGAATATTGACTGTGGATACTTAAAACTCTGGTTGGCAAGGAAAACCTCTACGAAGGAGTCTTGTGAATTAGAAATGGCTTAAATTCTGGTAGTAGTTTGTATCTAGCTATTTTAAGTTTGGAGATTTCAAATTTTACAGTTGTCCTGGAAATACTGATACCATATTTAATGCAGCATTTCCCAAACTTCTGAATGTTGAACTCTATTTCAGAAAATGAAACTAATTACTAACCCTGATCACAACTCAGCCAAATGTTGGTAAAGTAGTACCTGCCCTTAATCTTTATGTCTTCCATGGCCTACTGGTTATTCCTTTCAGACTTGGTCTTTATCTTGGGAAATGCTAATTATAATTAATGGACATAGAAAAATAATAAATAAAATTTATATTTTAAAATTGATATTATAAAATTGATATTTGCTTAGATTATCCTAATTTGAAATACTTTTGATTTTTAAATCAATATTTTTAACAATAAGTAACTATTAATATGCAATAATGTTTTATTATAAATAAGTGGTTACTGTCATCTTTACAGGTTTCTATAACTTCATAAGGATGACAGTTTTTTGTTTTGATTATATTGCATTGTTTGGATTATTTTCATTGAACTTGTGTTTGAGTTTTCTTTAAAACATTATATTTCATGTTATAAACATAAAATACATAATTCGTTATGAATAATTAATCTCAGTTCTGCAGTGTCAGGTAATCTCCCCTTTATGATGGGCAGATTATACTGTAGTTTGTTTCTAGTATCAATGAAGAACTTCACCTGCATGCAATTTAGAAGGGTTAGGAGTTAAATGTACTGTATCTTGCTTTATTCTTAGATTCCATCCATACACGTCAGGACTTTACTAGTCAACCATATTTAAATGAGGTTCCAGCTCAGTTTTCTTTTCCAGTAGTGGCAAAAAAAAGCTTTTGGCTATTACCTCATTTTTACAAAATACCATGCTATAAAAGCTTTGCTTATACAGTATCCTGCTGACAAAAAAGTAACGTATTTAAGCATAGATGTAGTTAGTGCAGTTCTAATCCTCATATATTATTCTTGATCACCCAGAAAAATGCTGGGTGATTTGGAAAAAAGAAATATTGTGGTCCTTGGTACGTGAACTACAGCAACTAAATTTAACAGGAGACCTGAAAGTCATGAATGTATAAAGGGGAAATGAGGGGAAAGCTAATAGTAATAAGAAAGCATGATCATTCAATACATTATGTATACTTCTTAATTTTTTTTCACTTTATCTTCTCCTAGTTAGTCAGAGGTAAGTTGCTAGAAGTCATTTGTTGGAATGGATGGAATTTAACAAGTAGGTTTGGGGATGGTGGGACATTCCAGGCACCAGAATATGAGAGAAAGCATATAGGGCTCCTAAAGACATGCAGGGAGCTGGCTTCAACGTGCTGGAAATCCAGCACATTGGAGCAGACTCGATTAAGCAAGTCTGCTAGAACATGGAAATAAACACGCTCCAGCAGACTCTGCCATCATGTGTATCAGCATGTGCAAGCTGAAAATGACAGTGGGGCACTTTGAACTAGAGCTCATTTAATGAGCTCTAGTTCAAAGTGCCCTGCTGCCATTTTTCAGCGCAGGAGATGCTGATACACATGATGTACAAGTGCTTTTAATTAGCGTAGCTCACTAATTAAAGTGCCCCCTGGCGCCTCCTGGAGCATGTGTAAAAATGCCCATAGAGTCCTGTGAGAGAAAAAAACTATGTAGGTAAGGTAGTTGATTATGGGGTGCCAGAAGCAAAATAGAATGTTAGAATAAAAATACATATTTTTTAAACACCTGATTAATTGATTTTTCTATGCTGTTGCCTTACTTAATTTGCAAGTGCCTCTATTAGTCCAGATGCATAACTTGAAAAAAAATATAGCTGTTTAGCTTTAGCCAATAAAGTAGTTACATGACTTAATCTGCTTGAGGATATAGATTCATAGATTGTTAGGGACTGGAAGGGACCTTGCAGATCATTGGGTCCAGCCTCCCCCCTCCGGCTCTAGGCAGGAGGACAACTGGGGTTAGGTGACCCCAGCGAGGTGACTGTCTAGTCTCTTGAAAACCTCCAGGGTAGGTGACTGCACCCCTTCTGTAGGGAGTTTATTTCTCAGTCTGCACACCCTGACTGTGAAGGAGTTTTTCCTGGTATTAAGCCTGAAGCAGCTTTCCAAGAGTTTGTATCCACTGGTCCCGGTCTTCCTGGGGGTGCCCTAGTGAACAATTTTTCACCAAGCTCCTGATGCACTCCTCTGATATAGCGGGAAGCCACTATCAAGTCCTCTCTCCACCTTTGCTTCTTTAGGCTAAAGAGGCCCAGGTCCCTCAGCCTCGCCTTGTATGGCTTGCCTTGCAAGTCCCTAATCATACAGGTTGCTCTTTTCTGGGCCCTCTTAAGTTTTTCCACATCCTTATTGAAGAGCAGTGCTCAGAGCTGGGTGCAGTACTCCAACTGTGGTCTCACCAGTGCTGAGCACAGCGGGAGTATCACTTCTTTAGTTTTACACGAG